GTCTCTGCGCCGGGAGTGTCAGATCATCCGTTCATCCGACACTCCCGGCGCAGAGGGGGGGGCCCGCCGGCAGCCGGATACTGATCTCCAGGGGCAGAAATACCGTCTGAGACTGTGGGGGGGGGGCCCAGTGAGGTCCGGTCCTGGGCACCCCCGTGGAATATGGGGCAGTGCAGGGTCCCGGTGTTAGAACACCGGGGCCCGCACTGCCGACTGGGATCTCAAGAAGGGGGCGGGTCCTCCTCTCCGGCCGCGTCCCTAGTAACAGGCGACCGGGAGAGAAGTGTGTATGTGTCAGGGGCCCACAACAGCTGTCCCTTTCGCCCCGAGCAGCAGAGAGATAAAGCAGCAGTGTCAGGGGGGAGACAGACCGGCCGTCCGTCCTCAGTAGCAGAAAGACAGTGTGAAATGACGGCCGTCCATGTTCTCTTCTAAGAACATGACTTCTGTACACTAACGGCTTATACTGTCATTATTACCACATAAAACATCTGTGTGCCTCCTGCTGTGATCTCCCCCCCTGGTGCATGTCACAGAGATCAGGCACGGAGGAGAAGGAGGGGGAGGGCACAGCACAACGTGAAAGGTTAATCTGAAAAAAAAGCAAATTATGTATATCTTTATTAGCAAATATCTGTATTTAACTTTACATGGACAGCAAATGTTAGTACTTGCACAGAGGCTTGGACTGGGAGCAGAACCGGGATGGAAGAATCAGGACTGTATTGCATTTACACTGACTGCATATCACTAAACAAAGTGTGTTCAGTCCATGTGTTCAGTGATATGCTGTGTAATTGCAATACAGATTTTGCTGATATATCCATGTTCTGTACTACCTGTAAATCATACAATAAGATTTAAATGTAAAGTCTTATTGTATGATTTATCAAGTAATGTAGAACAAATATACCAGTTTGTGGTTATATTAGTAAAATCTATATTGTACTTACATTGTATGCCCCCCCCCAAAACACTTGTTGCACGGTGTACTGTATATGCAACCTATGCATTCTGTGTATCATATATAGAGGCATTTGATAAAAATGCAATGCACCGTGCAGCCAGTGTTCGGGTGCAAGCAATGTAAATTCACTACCGATTCTACTAATGTAACCACGTAGTGCTATATTTGTTCTGTACGACTTGATAAATCATACAATAAGATTTTAAATTTAAATCCTATTGTATGATTTAACAAGTAGTCCAGAACAAATGTACCAATACATGGTTATATTACTAAAAACTGGTATTGCATTTACATTGCATGAACACTTGCTGCATGGTGCATTACATTTTCAACATATGCATTCTACGTATGCTGTAATATAGACTTATGGGTCAAAAATCTGTATTGTAGGGTCCATTGCGTTGCAGAGTGCTGGGTCCATTGTGTTGCAGAGTGCTGAGTCCATTGCGTTGCAGAGTGCTGAGTCCATTGCGTTGCAGAGTGCTGAGTCCATTGCGTTGCAGAGTCCTGGGTTCATTGCATTGGTCCATTGCGTTGCAGAGTGCTGGGTCCATTGCGTTGCAGAGTGCTGAGTCCATTGCGTTGCAGAGTGCTGAGTTGATTGCATTAGTGCATTGAACTGTATATACAGTATATCTACAGTATATTCACACATGCATATATTATTATTTTTTAGTTTCAGTGGAAGGTGATGTAGGTGGATATGGGGGGCTAGGTCGGGAAGTGGGGGGGCATGTGATGGAAGTAAGCGAGTTGTGGGGGCCCATCAGCAAAATTTTGTCCAGTGCCCCCTGGATATTAAAGACGGCCCTGGTTGTGTGCTGTTATTTCATTTAATTAGAAAAGTGGATTATAATGGGGAACATTACACTGTACTGTTCCCTATTATAATCTATTTCTCTGATTAAAATGATTACAGACAGGACCTCAGTTCTATCAAAGTTTATGACGTTGAATGTGTGACTGGTCACGTGGTCACACATTTTAACGTAATCCCGCCCAGTTTTTTTGGCGGTGGAATGTGTGACCGCCAATAGGTCAATCATTCCAAAGCTTTGTCAGCTGTTCCAGGGCAGATCGGCATCGCAGATGGTATGTGCAGGACACCTGATCTGCCCTGGAACAGCTGATTGGTCCTGAAATGTCAGTTCTATTAGACTTTGTGAGTGGGGTGGAATGAATGTGGAATGATAAAACGTGTGACCACGTCACCAGTCACACATTCCAACCTAGTCACAAACTTTGATAGAACACCGCCATCAGGGGGGTATGGCCGGTACGCATGTGATGGGTCTGGGCAGCCTGGGGGGCCCCTTGCATGGGTATCAGCTGTACCAGGGGTGGCATGGCAGAGGTGACAGGGGAGGGGGTGGAGAAGGCCGGGCCCCAGCAGCAGGCAAGAAGAGTTGGGAGGAAGTACAGGGAAATGGACCCTGACAACCAGCCCACCTGGGACCCTGCAGAGCCCACCATAGAGAGTCTCAGATGGGCTATGCAGGATCTATGGTGTGCTCTGCAGGGTCTCAGGTAAGTCCAGCACGCTACTGCAACATTAGAGACCACTGGGGGTGGGGGTTCGGGGGCCAGTGTGATCCGCTGCCGCTCCCCCCCCACCCCGTGCCGTCTTGGGAGGGGGGCCCAAGATAAAATCTTGCACCAGGGCCCTTTGGTTATTAGGTCCGCCACTGGGCCAGATGTAAACAGATATCAGCCCACATATGCTCAGGTTAGTAGCAGACCTTGCCACAGACATTTCAGATATGGTCCGATTGACCTGAACTGACCCCTAAGTGGGCAGATGTAGGTGGGTGCAAGTCTGCTTACATCCAGTTGCCCATAGGGATGTATTGCAGTCCGTTTTCGATCTATCTGATCACAGATCAAGAACAGACTGACAGAACACCCATGTAAAAGCGGCCTTTGGCTGTTGTATTACCATCTGAAAATTGTTTTGTGACTGTTTTGAGTCTGTTTTACACATATAAAAAAGAGAAAAACACGATTGCGACCTGTTTTATATTTTAGGAGGGTACATACAGCCCAACATGGGTGAAATCTAGATACGGAGCTTGGTATTTGGATCCTCAAACATGGAAGAAACAAAACGCCAATGAGCCGTTAAAAGATCCAACAATGGAAAACGAGGAAAAGGGCAATCATTCAAAAAACAAGCTTAGCCAAAAGGTACCTTGCATAAAAAAATATCACTACTTATATTTAACTGACGCATAATAGGTATGTCCCAGCTCCAGTTGAATAAGATGGGAAAGAGTGATTATGCAAATAGTAATACTTATTTTACATACATTTCCTATATACTCTTCTTACTGCGTATAGAATTAGGATATTCAGTATTCTGGGTTTACATGGCAATGATGATGACAAAACAGACCCATGGGTGCAGGTCACCTATTGCATAATAGTACACATTGCTACCCCAGTGCATTTTGAAATGTTAGATTGAAAAAGACAAATCAGATTCTCTGGTTACTAGATTAAAATTGTTAATGATGCTTCAATGTTATCCAGCGGTGCATCAGCGACAGCTGCCCTGGACACCATTTTACATCTCCCAACAGCCACAATTTTATGTGGGTTGCCTCCCTTCATTCCTGTGCCCCACAATAGGTGCATGGCTTATCAAATGTAGGTTCAGGTGGATCAGAAGCAGGACTTACTAGATTCTATTAGTTTGATTGCCCAGTTAGTAGCATGACAGATAAATGTATTTCCGATATGTGCTTCAGTATGGAGTTCAAGCAGAAACAGTATAGAAAACTAAATTTTATATTGACTCTTTTCTTACGGGTTTTGATTGTGTCGTGCGTTACAAAATGCAGATTATGCTTCTAAAGTTATTATTTAAAAAAATGATTTTAGTTTCTGCTTTGTTTAATTCTAGGACGAAGAATTGTTGCAGCTTCATGGAACCTCTGCCTTTAAAGAATTTATTGAGAGGAAAGGTTACAGAAGGCCAGAGGTGAGGTGTGCTGTGTTTTCTGAGCAATATTTCTTCATCATAAAATTGCGCTTGATTTCAGACATTTACAGCCCAGTGTTTCTAAGGAAAAGTGCTTTAAAAATACCATAAAGAAAAAATGCATCTGACATGTTAACGCCCCTTTACATGCACTCCTCCAGTTATTATTATGACATAAAGCTCACCATATCTAGTAGACCGTGTAGTATAGCTACACACTCTTGTAACTGCACAAAACCCCGCCTCTGCTGGTATTTGGACAAACCATTATCTATTGATCCTAGTCGTTCCCATGAGAACAGTTTACCTAAGGTGTCTGCTGGGATAAAATGCTTTACTTGATTCATTCTGCTTACATCAGCAAAATTGGGGCAGTGATCAGCTAATGTTTTTAGGTACATAATGGGCAAGCACCTACATAGACATATTCCAAAAATTATAACTGGGAATGCACCGATGCCATTTCTTTAAGACCGAGTACGAGTAACGATACTTTTCCTCAAGTACTCGCTTATACCAATTACTGATACTTTTTTTTTTTATTGTCATGTGACAGTTCATCTAAAAGAATGCAGACTAATGATTTTAGGACAGTGGTGGAGCGCCAGAACCAGGTCCCAGCTGCAATCCTGGTAGTTCTGCCACTGACTCCAAGCTGTAGAGGGACTACAAATCCCAGCAAAACATATACAGCAATGCAGAACAATATGAAGCTACATACTCTGTGTTGCTCAAAGGGCTGTGTGCAGTCTCAACAGGGCTGTGTACGGTGTCTCCCCAGGGCTGTGCAGTCTCACCAGGGTTGTGTGCAGCATCTCCTCAGGGGTGTGTATTCTCATCAGAGCTGTGTGCGGCATCTCCCCAGGGCTGTGTGCGGCATCTCCCCAGGGCTATGTGCGGCATCTCCCCAGGGCTGTGTGCGGCATCTCCCCAGGGCTGTGTGCGGCATCTCCCCAGGGCTGTGTGCGGCTTCTCCCCAGGGCTTTGTGCGACTTCTCCCCAGGGCTTTGTGCGGCTTCTCCCCAGGGCTGTGCATTCTCCCCAGGGCAGTGTGTGACATCTCACCAGGGCTGTGCATTCTCTCCAGGGCTGTGTGTGGCGTCTCTCCAGGGCTGTGCAGTCTCCACCAAAAGCCTTTGCAAACCCAGGTAATACCTTCTAAATATATCAATATCATCACTGTGCTACACACAGCCTGTACAGTGTGCAAAGCTGTGGAAGGGACCCAGCATGCTCACCCACTACAGGTTACCTGTAGAAAACTGCAGAAGGTAGGAGGGTACAAGACCAGTCACCCTGCACAAGGAGAGGGAGCAGCAGTGACCGGTCTAAGTGACAGGAAGCTCTTACACAGAGTGAAAGTGTCACACTGGATTACTGCACAGGTCTGGAAGAAATACACAAAGCACAACAAGATTCAACTAATTATACACAGGACTCCTATCACTTGTCCATAATTTACTTATCCTGGAGTTCAGCTTTAAAGTGTATGTCTGGCCAAATGTAAAAAAAAAATACATATTTAGTACATCTTTCATTACAATTGTTCATGGTTTGACTCATTGAAAACACTACAATATTTGAAAAATGCTTCTTGATCCTGCCAGAAATCCATTGAGCTCCAAACTTCCTGTAGTGAGCTGACAACACAGTGTGTCACTCACGGCTCCCTGCAGGGACTCCTCCCCTTTCCGATCCTCCAGTGCTGACTGGCGGAACGGACGGGGGAGGGGGCAGGTACAGCTGGTTCTGCCTCTAGATAGGCAGAGTCAGCTGTCAATCACGCAGCTGGGTGGATCTCGACAGTGATGTCGGGATCCGTCCCGGCTGCGGCGTCTCAGCATATCACGAGCTGTAGCTCGCAATATACTGAGCTTAGGGTGACGGGAGGACGCTAGTTTGTGTCCTCCCGTTACCCTTAGAACTATGGGGAAAAGCCTTGACCCCATAGTTCTCCTTTAATCGATTTCTAGCTAGATCCACTGAAATGTTTTAGTGCTTGCATCATGTTTAAAGAGACAGACATCGGGAAAAGTGCATGTGTTGCAGAGATATACTGAATATGTTTTTATTTTGCCCTGACATGCACATTAAGCTTTATTTATGATCAAATATATTTGAAATGTCACCATACAGAACTTTAAAGTAGTGCGACAGTAGCAGGTAGGCTTTTATTGCCTTCCAGAAATGTCTTTTCTAAATGTACATTACACATGTGCAGCTCAGTTGCCAAATCCTGGTATCTGCCAGCTACTGGAATGAATTAATTCCCGCATGTGCTCACAAGAGTTACATCATTCTGGTCCAGCCAGTCAAGATGTCCGAAAATGTCGATCCCAAAAGAAGACCATGCTAGGACATCAGAGGCAGTTTCTCCTAAACATTAGATATTCATTATCTTATACCTGTGGTTTCATACAGTGGCTTAGTGTTTAGCATTCCTGCCTTGCAGTATTGGGGTCCCCAGTTACAATCCCAGTCAAGACACTAAGGAGTTTGCATGGGTTACCTCCCACACTTCAAAGACATGATTGAAGGTTAATTGGCTCCTGTCTAAATTTGCCCTGTATGTATGTATGTATGTATGACATAAGGGCCTTAGATTGTAAGCTCCTTAAAAGCAGACACTGATGTGAATGTGCAGTGTGTAAAGCGCTGTGTAAATTGTCAGCACTATATAAATACCAGTAACAAATACATTGCAAAAGGCGAATTTTCAGGCAAATTTCACTACTTTCAAGCCACTGGGAATCGCAAATGTCATATGGAGAGTGGGGGGTGGTATAGTGTGGACTCCTCCGGCATCACCTGGCAAAAAGCTGTTTGACAAGATGTTCTAACTTGTCCGAACATTATTTCTCCCAACAACCCTCAGTGATTGGTGTCTGTGAGCTCTCATCGCCTAATCAGCCTGAAAATATCCAGATCAGAAAACTGTCGCGTATATGGAAGCCTCAAATTACCTTTTATTGTTCTCTGAATCCTCGCAATTTAGTATAAATACACATGCAAGTTTCCTCATTAAAAAGTACACATTTTTGTACAATTTCCCCATAAACACCTATATAAAATTCAAGGATTTCAGCAAACTTTATTTCAGATTTCTATAGCTATGTAGATATAGATCAGTCTATGTAGGCTAGATAAAAATCAGTCATCATTTTAATGCAGGTCAGCCTAGGGCACAGTTTATCAACACTTTTTCAGTCATGGCACCCTTTAAAAGTAAGCAAAATCTCGAGACACCCCTATCTAAAATGTAATGGGTTTTAAGAGGGGACCCCACAGAAAAAAATGGGGTTAACCTCTTCACATCAGAATCCCCCCCCCCCTCACATCAGAGACCCCCTGTACATCCATAGCTCCCTTTTACATAAGTAGCCCACTCGTTTCACATCAGGAGCCCTAAGTCCTACCATCACCAAATGTCGAGGCACCCTTTGAGGAAGCCAGAAGACTCTGGGTTAACTAAAACATTTCCTGCATGGGGACTTTTATCTCACATTTTTTAATCTGCAGCATGTTGGATATAACTTGACTTTAAACTCTATGCACAGGTTTGGAAGACAGCCGGTTACAGCTGTCTGGAGAGTGGCTACTTTTATTCCTATAGTCCTTGTGTGTGTTGTAAAGTAGTCACTGCTCCAAGCTCGCTCCCGTGATGGTCTACAATCTCAATACAAATTAGTAAACTAAACAAGAGATTGTAGTCCATCACAGGAGTGAGCTTGGAGTGGTGACTACTTTACAACACACACAAGGACTATAGGAATAAAAGTAGCCACCCTCCAGAAGGAAGGACAGTGTTCCCCATGGTCCCTGTGTGTGTTGAAAAGTAGTCACCACTCCAAGCTCACTCCTGTGATACACTACAGACTCGATACACATTAGTAAACTAAACCTGAGATTGTTGTCTATCACGGGAGTGAGCTTGGAGCGGTGACTACTTTACAACACACACAGGGACCATGGGGAACAAAAGGAACCACCCCTTAAGGTTAATTAGACCACCCAATCAAAAAAATGGGCCATCTTAAAGCAACCCAAGTTAACACATATCATGACACAACAGACCTGTGTGATGTGAAGGGGCCATTACTGTTGCTTTTAATAAGACTTTTATGTTTTGCATGTATCAGAACAACATTTTTTTTCTTTCAGTTTCTCAACAAAATATCATATACGAAAGATGCTGTGTCTTCTGAAAGAGCATCCAGGGACGCATCTTCTGCAGGGAAAATGTGGTACCGGTCTGGCTCAGCATCCACCCACGAAGAAAGCATAATAAACTGAATATGTTCTTTCACTCACATCTTCTGCCTTTGGTTTAAATATTAACTTGTTTTAGGGTTATTGCACAACATAATCACTCTCATATTTACCTATACTTAAAAGGTATAAAGTACAAGGGCAAATACAGTAAAGCATCAATATTATGAACCAGTACAGCCATAAAACTTACTGAAATATCTCTATTGCCTGATTGACATCAAAATAAAAAGTAAAGCAGCTGTTTTGAACAGTTTACAGTGTGTATCCAATTTTTACTTATAGCTCCTAAATAGGGCTCAAAATTTCCCCTCGCAATTGGCGAGTGAAAATTGCGTGGGGGGCGAGTGAAAATTCAGGGGGAGGGAACTGCTGCTGCTTCTACAGCGGCGATCGCCCTCCCCTCACCTGTCACAGAAGTTGTGCTAGAACTCCTGTATTGGAGGTGACAGGTTCAATAAAGAGAAACTGTCACCTCCCTCCAAATGCTATCACACAGGGGATTGTTATCTCCTGTGTGATAGCCATAGAGTTAAGTGAAAAAAAATTTGTTAAAGAAATAATTAAATAACATTTAAAAAATAATACAAAATTATTAAATTAAAATAAAAAGGTGATTAAAAAGTTTAAAAAATTCACGGTCCACTTGCCATGATAACCAGTTGATTGGCAGGCTCCTTCCCTACAGGGACCCGGGCTCCACTGCATAGAAGGAGGACAGGAGCCTGCCAATCAGCTCGTTACTATTCCCTGGGTCATATTTGGTGAGTGTACAGGGACAATGAGGGCATGCTGGAACTTGTAGTTCAATTACGACATGTCCCAGCATGCTCTCATTGTACCTTTACACCCCCACATATCACGGGGGGGGGGCGCAAACGTTTGTCCTGCCCCGGGCGCCGGTTACTCTGGTTACGCCACTGGGTCTCTGTGCATCACACCACAGGTCTCTGTACTGTGCATCACACCGCAGGTCTCTGTACTGTGCATCACACCGCAGGTCTCTGTACTGTGCATCACACCGCAGGTCTCTGTACTGTGCATCACACCGCAGGTCTCTGTACTGTGCATCACACCGCAGGTCTCTGTACTGTGCATCACACCGCAGGTCTCTGTACTGTGCATCACACCGCAGGTCTCTGTACTGTGCATCACACCGCAGGTCTCTGTACTGTGCATCACACCGCAGGTCTCTGTACTGTGCATCACACCGCAGGTCTCTGTACTGTGCATCACACCGCAGGTCTCTGTACTGTGCATCACACCGCAGGTCTCTGTACTGTGCATCACACCGCAGGTCTCTGTACTGTGCATCACACCGCAGGTCTCTGTACTGTGCATCACACCGCAGGTCTCTGTACTGTGCATCACACCGCAGGTCTCTGTACTGTGCATCACACCGCAGGTCTCTGTACTGTGCATCACACCGCAGGTCTCTGTACTGTGCATCACACCGCAGGTCTCTGTACTGTGCATCACACCGCAGGTCTCTGTACTGTGCATCACACCGCAGGTCTCTGTACTGTGCATCACACCGCAGGTCTCTGTACTGTGCATCTCACCGCAGGTCTCTGTACTGTGCATCGCACCGCAGATCTCTGTAATGTGCATCTCACCGCAGGTCTCTGTGCTGTGCATCGCACCGCAGGTCTCTGTACTGTGCATCGCACCGCAGGTCTCTGTACTGTGCATCGCACCGCAGGTCTCTGTACTGTGCATCGCACCGCAGGTCTCTGTAGTGTGCATCGCACCGCAGGTCTCTGTACTGTGCATCGCACCGCAGGTCTCTGTACTGTGCATCGCACCGCTGACCTGACGGAGTTAAGGCCGGGGCAGGGTAGGGGTTAGTGGGACAACTTGTGGCGAGTAACTATTAAGGCCTGGCTAGTAACTTAGGACTTGAAATTTTGAGCCCTGGTAACTTCAAAGTTACCATTGCAGAAAAGCTTCCCCCCACCGCAAGGGTTAAATGCTTGTCCTGCTATCTCAGCTGAAATTTGATTCATGGATGTCGGCCCTCAATAAAAGTCAATTTTTCATTCAACTTTTGTTGAAAGAGCCAGGTGGAAATTGTCAGCCATACAGTGAGTGCAGCCAATCAGATGCTGCCACTGTTTTAGTATTTTGACAGCGGTGGGTGCTAGCTGTCAGAATTAAATCCCCCTACAGGGGGTATTACCTCATCCATGGATGGCTTTACACCTGCCTCGAATTCAGCTGTAAAATAAATGCAGACTGCATTTATTTTACAGCACACTCCAGATCACACCAGCGTTGTGGTGTGAATGGTGCACATAGAAAGCATTTGTTTTAAATGTGCCCTAGTGGTGACTGCCATTCTTCAGTTGCTGTAATACACCAGTTGCTGCATATAGTGTGAATGGGCCCTTGAAGGTGAATTCGAGGCAGGTGTAAAGCCATCCATTGATGAGGTAATTATCTTATGAAATTACACTGTTACATGTTTCATGCAGAATAAAGTTACAAAAATAAATATTAACAACAACTTTAACAATATTATCCCAAAAGCCCCCTGCCCCCACATATAAAATAATACACTCTCCCCCCTGTTCCCCCCACACACACATAACATAATAATCTCCCCTGTTCCCTGCCCCCCACCATGTAAAGTAAAACACTGAAGCCCCCTCACCTGCTTGTCTTTATGCAGGGAGGAGGCAAGCAGGCAGATCCCTGGTTAACTTGTGTTGATTAGTAAGGTCTGCTGCAGACCTTACTAATCACTTCATTTTCGGGCCGCAGCTCTTGCTGAAAGCACAGACAGCCCAGCCAGGAGCAGCTGCTCCCACGAGTCAGGTACGCGGTCCATAACCGCAAGCCTGACTGAGTTTCCACTCACCTTCACTGCATTTCCACTCGCCAAATGCGAGCAGGCGAGTGGAAATTTTGAGCCCTGGTGTAAAGTGTACACTTAATTGAGTTCCCCACACAGACTGGTGCGGTGACCTGTGGTGCGGTCCAGAGCGGTATGAAAAAATGTGTGGGGGGTAGGGAACAGGGAGGGATTATTATGTTATGTGTGGGGGGCCAGGGAACAGGGGGCAGAGTGTAATATTTTTTATGTGAGGGCATCGAGCTTTATGGTAATGTTGTTAAAGTTGTTGTTAATATTTATTTTTGTAACTTTACTCTGCATAAAACATGTAACAGTGTCATTTCATAAGATAATTTAAGAGGGTGTGTTAAGGGGCGGAGTTAAGGCCGGGGCAAGGTAGGGGTTAGGTGGGCAACTGATGGCGAGTAACTCTTAAGGCCTGGCTAGTAGCTCAGGACTTGAAATTTTGACCCCTGCTTTACACTACATATAAAGTTAAACTAAAGAGTAAACAGTGTGATGTCCTGAGACCAACATCACACCGCCAACCTACCGGCGCTATGGAAACAGGCCCACAAGCCTGTTTAGATGGCCCCATATCTCTATACAGTGCCTGTCCATAATTTTATAATTCACATATTTGTCATTGGTACTGTATATGTTAAGCTCAGTTCAGAGTTGACTCACCATTTACACCTAGACATTTTGTCACTCAAAGATAAGCGCGACCAATCGCTCAAGTAAAGGAATCCCACTTGCTTGTTCTAAGCATGGCAAAACATCAAGACAAGGAATCCCACTCGCTTGTCCTGAGCATGACAAAACGGTCAAGACAAGGAATCCCACTCGCTTGTCCTAAGCATGACAAAACGGTCAAGACAAGGAATCTCACTCGCTTGTCCTAAGCATGACAAAACGGTCAAGACAAGGAATCCCACTCGCTTGTCCTGAGCATGGCAAAACATCAAGACAAGGAATCCCACTCGCTTGTCCTATGCATGACAAAACATCAAGACACGGAATCCCACTCGCTTGTCCTAAGCATGACAAAACGTCAAGACAAGGAATCCCACACGCCTGTTCTAAGCATGACACAACATCAAGACAAGGAATGCCGCTCGCTTGTCCTAAGCATGACAAAACGGTCAAGACAAGGAATCCCACTTGCTTGTCCTAAGCATGACAAAATGTCAAGACAAAGAATCCCACTCGCTTGTCCTAAGCATGACAAAACAGCAAAGACAAGGATTCCCACTCGCTTGTCCTAAGCATGACAAAACGGTCAAGACAAGGAATCCCACTCACTTGTCCTAAGCATGGCAAAACATCAAGACAAGGAATCCCACTCGCTTGTCCTGAGCATGACAAAACGGTGAAGACAAGGAATCCCACTCGCTTGTCCTAAGCATGACAAAACCTTAAAACAAGGAATTCCACTCGCTTGTCCTAAGCATGAAAAAACATCAAGACAAGGAATCCCACTCGCTTGTCCTAAGCATGAAAAAACATCAAGACAAGGAATCCCACTCGCTTGTCCTGAGCATGGCAAAATGTCAAGACACGGAATCCCACTCGCTTGTCCTAAGCATGAAAAAACATCAACACAAGGAATCCCACTCGCTTGTCCTAAGCATGACAAAAACGTCAAGGCAAGGAATCCCACTCGCTTGTCCTAAGCATGACAAAAACGTCAAGGCAAGGAATCCCACTTGCTTGTCCTAAGCATAACAAAATGGTCAAGACAAGGAATGCCATTCATTTCTATGGCACCTGCTTCCACCTGAGAGTTTTGTTGCGCAGTTTGTTGCACAAAGTTTCCCATTGAAGTCTATGGGACAAAAAAGCAGCTCGTACTTTTTCCCAGCACCAGGCGTTTTTGTGCTCGTGCAAAAAACACTGAGGTGTGAACAGGGGCCATAGAAATGAGTGGGATTCCTTGTTTTCAGGTGTGAATGGAGCCTACAGATACAGGGACATTAAGTAAAATCACATTTGAATTGATCTTTTTAAGATATATTTCCTATGCTTTATTGATTTCCAACTGGTCAAAAGGTCACCTCTCCTTAGATTAAAAAAAGTCAATCCTTCAAGATGTTTTTCAGGCCACATGCTGAGGCCTCCCCCATTCCATTTCAAAATGAAATGCTTTTGTCACACCCAGCCTCCCACCTTCAGGGCTATTGCTTGTTAACACTTATCCTCAATATTGCCTTACACATTCACCCAATTCACCTTCCCAATACCATACAAATTGCATTGACTCACATCCTGTGTCTATACACCATGCATTTCATCCCCTACTGACTTACACAATAAG